TGTTCTGACTGCCACCCATGTCGTTTTGGGGGACATCCTCTCCAAGAGTATCCAGGAGTAGTGGAGTAGTGCCTATGATGAAAAATATTGGATGGGCAAGAGCGGGCTTTGGTCCCAAAAAGTCTAAATCTGATATCTGACATCTTCTGGATTTTGAATGCTGAAGATTGCTGGAGAACCCCCCACGTAGAATTTGTAGCCATCTGTTTCCAAAAGGGTGACCTACCAAAAGCTCTGCCAAGGAAAGAGCTGGTTGAGATCCACTCATGTAAAAACAAATCCCGAAAGTTGTCTACTACCCTAACCATGGGGAAGTTCACCTCACAGGGTCCTCGGGATCATAATCGATGAACTCCTCTTCTTCGGCCCTTCGCGCGATGGCCTCAGAAAGTCGCCCGCTCGACTCGCCCAAGTGGATCCATGGATCCATTACGAGAGCGTTCAAGGCTTGGCTCTAGTGAAAGTGGAGTAGGTGGAATGGGCTCAAGCATGAATCTGCACAGACCTGCACTAAAAAGGGGTTGAAGGGATGATCCAAAACTACAGCTCATCGTAAACGTAGTTGGCAAGGCTCGAGAAGTGGCCTCTAAGCCAGAAAATGCCAGAAGTGGTAGCTGAAGTGGTGGAATCATGTGGAGAATCCATTTCGTAGAATGATCGGCAAGCATAACAATGCATATCTCATCCTATCTCATAACTGGAGTCTTGGGTCTGCTCACATTGGTTCCAGTCTATGACATTCTATGACCCTCCCACCGGCCTCCCGACCATAGAACATGGGCCTCCCGACCGGCCGCCGGAGAGCGGCGCGAGCTCCAAGAGCCGTCAGCACACTAAGAGCGACACCAGCATGTGCGACCTGAGGACTTCTCAGCGTCACGGCCCTTGGCAACGAAACGCCCAAGCCGTGGAGATACATTCCGCGAAGATGCATCCATTCATGGTTCCTTTAAATTGTAGGAGGGCACCTGGGAACACCAAGTCGCAAGGACGTCAAGAACTCCAAAAAATAGAACAATTAGTTTGACTTGTCTCATGAGTAGACTTGCCAAGGACAGGCTTATGATGTCTAGTGAGTCTAGTACATTCCAACACCTGAGACAGCTCCTGTCGGCTGAATAGCCCACCCCACGCGGCCATCCTTCTCATGCGCTCTTTTGACGGCAGCCCAGTCGGCCAAAAAGGTCGTCGGCCCAACTCGGCCAAAGAAGAGTCACACAGAGCTGCACGGTGAGAAAAGCTCACCGGGGCACTGGTCAAATCAATGACGTTCCGTGGAAGACACGTAGCCTTGGAAACCAGGTGGAATCGTAGAGGCAAGTAGGCCTTGGCATCCGTTGGTTTTGTTTTCGGTCGTGGGGGGGTGCAAGGCTTCTGCAGCAAACGCGCACGCACGCATGCAAAAATACACACACCTATACGCATGCGCTCGGTGCGCAAGGTCTTCTTAGAAGTTGAGGAACTTAACACCCACGGCGAAACAATTGATTGGGAGGTCCTCACTCACTGACACACACCTACATGTTGGACAATTTTTGTTCGGTGCATGCCCTGTGGCTCCAAAACCGTTCAACGCGCGGGTCGTCGTGGAAACGCCAAGCTTGCAGATTGAAGCCTGTCTGGCGAGTGGAGCACGTTGTGGCTCTGCCGTTCAGGAGCTGGGATACTACCAGGACCTACCAGGGCACCCAAAGCTGTAAGAGCAGGTCTTTAGCTTGACATGGCTTTTTGGCTGCTGAATAGTGGGACAAGTAAATAACTAAGCAGTACGGTAACAAGTGGCACAAGAACAAAGGGTCTGTCCCGTAGTAGTTCATGCCAGCAGCTTCAGGAAAATGATGGAACACGCTACAGCACATGAACCAAGCTAGTGACCTCATGTCAGACCAGTGAGGTAAACTCCAAGTTAGACCCAACCATTTGACTCAAAGGCTTCATCAAACCATCTTCGTGCTATCCATGCCATGATTGCCATGTCTTCCCCTCGCACGGCGCCGCGTCCGGGTCCGATCCGCTTCGGATCCGGCGGATCCGTCCCTCACGCCGTGAGGGTTGCAGGGTAGCTTCAGCCTGGAAACGCACGGCCGGGTGGGTGCAGAATAAGACCCAAGTTCGGTGAGTTCGGCGGGGGGAGGGTCTTAAGCCCTGGAAACACTGAGCAGTACCGAGGTGAATCCAATCATATCTTCTAGAAATCACACATTCAGGAAGCCTGTGGTATTTTGAGCGCGCTTTATTCGATGAGATCATCTTAATCCCTTCCACCTATAAAATTAACAGTAAAAAGCACGGGTCCACCCCTCCCAACTAAAAACTCTGGGCGCACGTCTTTTCAATTAGGGGGTCCCCAAAATAGGGGGACCCGAAAAGATGGCCTCGGTGGAAAGTGTGTTTGCGTGCGTCCATGCCCATGCCTTTGGAAAAGCCTGCTGGTGTAAACGTGGCGTGTCATGGTGGACAAACAGGATGGACAAAGGTGGGCAGTTAGGGTTGTTTTTTGATGTTTTTGGAACCTTAAAACAAACTCCCCCCAAAATCGACCATGTTGGCAGGTTAGTAGCAGCTTGAAAGGGCGGTAATGAAAACTGTATTTAGGGGTCTCCGACATGGTGTTTCGTCATGGGGTATGGTTTTAAAATGTTTTAAATATAAGGTACCTGGGATTATTGCCGGCTTCTTCAGAAGACGGGGAGAAAGGAATCCTTCCAGAGTCATCCGCCAACATCATCGGCTTCGGAGTGGCTCCCGGCCTATGAAGCTGTCCAGCTGGAAGATTCGTTAAGCTTGACAATGATGACCTTCGGACGGACTGAAAAGTGCCTGATGAATTCAAAATAACAGATTCCGCATGACAGATTCTGAAACCCGCAATTTTCTCTCCAACTGAAACCCGCCAAGGCACGGTCATGTTATCTGTGCCAAGGCCATCGGTCTTCTGCGGGTCCTGCACTGTGGAGACCGGAGGGCGCAAACGTGGGGAACGCGGCTCTTGGCGAATGACAAAAGGACCAAACCATGTAGCTCTACATTGAAAGGTAATGTGCTCATATCAAGTTGATATTTCATCTACTTGTCATGTTCATCTTGTTCAGTTGGTGTTTCAATCACGCACCTTTTCCGAACATTCCCCAACAAGCCTGATGTTATACACTGGACTGGCTACTATGGAAGCAAATGTGGAAGCAAAAAATGCGCCCCCTGAGTCAAAGGGTAACCACCCCTCATTTCCAGGCCGTCTACCGGCCACCACATCGCACACTGCTTCCGCTTTTCCCCATACCGCTTTCGTGCGCGATGCATCGCGTTTTCGGCCTCAGAGCAGCAGTGCTCAAGGACGTCGGCCGCGACCTCCTTCAAGTCCATGCCCTTCTCCTCGGACGAAGCCCCGTGAATCGGTGATTGAGACTCGTGGGGCACTGTGGGGCGCGTTGAGCGGAGATATCTAAAAACATGGCAGCCATTGAGATGTGCAGCAAACATCAGAAAACACAAATGAAAACTATGTCGTTTCTGATGCTTACAACCATTGCGCTGTTTTCTTCTGCCATGCGATGGATGGCGTGCATACCTGAAACAATCAAAACAGCCCGTTGCCGTCAAAGTTCCATGAGACAAAATAAGAACTGATGAGATAACAAGTTCAAGGACCTTTTTACAGCACTTTACACATGACACAAGGGTTTTGATCAAACGAATGCACTGCAAACAGTTTAACCTGCCAGGCTATACTTTCGCTCCCACATACAGGGCTATGACCGTCTAGAAACCAATTGCGTTGATTTTAGATTCGAGGTGAATTGTGGAGTCTCAAATAGTCTCAATGTTCCAAGGGAACGTTCCCAACTCTTTGATCTGCCCTATGGGACGCTTCACGCTTATCCGTTTTAAATATCCGATAGGTAGAACATCCTGGAAACCATCAACATGTGAAAAAGAACGATCACTTATCGTGAAGCCTTGCAAAGGACGAAGCGTTTACCGCGATACTGAAGCGCCAAGCTGCCAGCCGTGGTTTGATGAAGTCGCAAATGTCCTACACAGCGTGGGTAAGGCATGTACTTTTGTCATGTTGTCTCTCTCTCTCTCTCCCTCGCTCTTCCTCACGGTCTCTCCATCTCGTCACTTTTGGCTTCAATGATGCACATTTAACCACCAATGACCCAACGCACCCCCAAAAGCAAACATGTCATCTTTCAAAACCAACCCAGCAATGTCCATCGCTCTTGCATCTCCTAAGTTGCCCTGGCAGCTTGAGGATGCTAAAGTTTTTATAATCGCTCTCGTGATCAATCTACCGACCATGGGCCTTGGTTGTGGTATGTTCGTTGCGGCGCGCACGGTTCCTGAGGTTAGGTCTATCGGGGCATTTCAATAGGATATCGGCGGGGCACGTCTTCCATTTTGACCGAACATGATCCCGCGCTCCACGGCATGGCCACAGCAGGTCGTGCAAAAAAGGAGACCGAGGCGGGATAAACCAAAGATGCGAGGCGTCAAAAAGACCACTGGGAGACTCTGAGAAGCTGAAGATGCTAGAATGCTAGAAATGAAGTGCATTTATAAAGTACCTTGAATCAACATGATCCTCTGATCAACCCAAATGGTTAAATAGTGTTATATAAGTGGTAATTCAATCCCACGAAAAGGCCCACAAGATTCACATCCCCACCCACCTGAAGATTGGCCTGAGATAGTTCAACGTGGGGTCATATTGGGTCCCAAACAGTTTCAGTGAGTTTCCCCCGAATGTCCATTGTACAATGCGCCGTGATATCTCTGACAGTCTAACGAGGAGCAATGATATGTGTGACTCGTGCCTCACTTCACCTTCGTTCCTTCACAGAAATGTCAGTGTGCCTGCATGAGGCGATTTCGAAAAATGTTGCAGCAACTGAGCGGCTAGCAAATGCTAGCAGCACTCCAAAAAGAGAACATGGAACCAGAACAAGAATTTCTGGACAACACAGACCAAGCGTTCCTAGACTAAGCGGTGATGTGGGAGCAATTCAAATTTTGGGTACCATGTTCCTTTCCTCAGGCCTCGTGGATGGCTGGCATGATCCGACTTTGGTAGTTGAACCCGCGTCAATACCACTGGCAAAGGTGCGGCAACGGCAAACAATTGCAAACAATCCGTGTTAGGTTCAAAAAGCAAAGTGGAAGCAACACATGCCAAGGCTGCCTGCCGAGCAGGCTTTGCCTCAAAACTCTTAATTACCATTCCTCTGTGGCTGTGCAAGTGAAGTTGGTCCACAACAGCCAACTGGGCCATGCAGGACATGCTGCAGCTGAAGAGTATCTGCAAGATAGGCTTCGGCTGAGACAGAAGTCCAAACTTATTTGACAAGTAGATTGAAATATCATGCCACGTGGTTGCCCTATTACCTTGTGAGAAAGCATCAGCTGTGTTCAGCTAATCCATGCTAACACTCCCCCCAAGCCCATCCCTAAAGCCTTATCCAAGGTGGTATATATATATATATATGACTATATATGTTTATATTGATATGTATATATATATACTAAATACACATATCAATTTTATTAAATATATATTTATATCATAAATTATATATACAGTATATATTGTACTTAAGGGGCCGAAATGTCACTGCAGCCGGTAATGTCCGCAGCTCTCTCAGCCTGCCTAGTGCCCCGCTGCTAGGCTTGAACAACTTGAATGCAAAGGACTCAAAGTGTCTCACATGGATTCTTCAATGGTTCCATCATCCGAGTACTGCTTACTGGACCTTGCTGATGGGGCATCTGGCGGTTCCGGCATGACTGTGCAGGCTTTCTCGAGCTGCAGCCTTTCTCGCCAAAGTGCCCAGCTTTGAATTTCCAGCTCCTTGGCCTTGACCTCTCGTGCAAGCTCAACGTTGGAATCAGCCCCACGGTGCACGGGGTTCACAGTGAATGAGACCAAGCCAATCATAAGGTCAAGCGATACAAAGAGGAAAGCAACGCTCAAAAGCCCAGCACGATAAAAGGCCCTGCTTGCTTCATGCTGCTGGGAAAAAGTGCAGCCCAAAGAAAGTCCTTGTGCACGGCAGGTGACTAAATCCCGCTTCACGGCCACGGTCGGCTCCCAAAGCTCAGCTTCAAAGAAGGCCCAGCCGTCACAAACGAAACATAAGCAAACCCAGCTGGTCAAGCGAAAGAACCTGAACAAGACCTCTGGAGCGACATAGCCCGCTGTGACGTGTTGATGCCACCCCGCCGTAGTCAGAGTGTTGAAATCATGATGAAGCCCTGTCATCATGGTGATGGGAAAGCAGAAAGACACCGCAACACCCCAGAGTTTGGGGAAGAGGGCCCACCGGACTGCAACATGTTCAACCACATGAGCCCCTTGAAGGGCCATGGATCGACGGACGCTAGTCAACATGCCAATGTTGAAGGAGATGCAGCAAAGCCCATTGGCAATCCCTGCCATGCAATAGAACAGCCCTGGAAGAAGCGGGTGGTACACATGCGAAACGATGGCGAAGGCAGTGAACTCTGCCAGGAAGCTGTTGCAAGCCTGATGACTCTCAGAAATGGTGTTTAATTTACGAGAACCTTGAATGAGAATTGGGATAGCAACTAGGTATCTAGTGTTGAACTCCCTCAGAAGACGGTAGCAAACACAGTAGTAGCAGCAGTTGTAGCAGCAGCAGCAGTAGTAGTAGCAGTAGCAGTTGTAGTAGCTTAGTAGCGGTAGTTAGTAGCAGTATCAAATCAACTCTTGCTAGGACCAGGCCTTCATTTGAAGCAGGAAGCATTGGTGCGGACACACAGCTCTAAGCGCTCCCAGATGATACGGGTACGCGCTGTTTCTCAACGCTGTTTCTGCCGCTGCCCAGCTAGCATGGACCAAGCTATAGCACACGCTCAGCACTTCAACGTAAGTGAGCTTCGTGGCTTGCAACATGGCGAAGGGTGCAATGAGCCCGCTGGCCTAGACTGCTGTTGATGTGTGAAAAATGAAAACCTGTTTGTGTAAGCGCTTTGCGATAAAAACGGATGAACCACCTGCTAGAGTCTTTGTTCATCGTGCCCAAGAAAAACTCCTGGGTGCTCAAAAGACTACCACAAGTCCCAGCTTCCGGCAAAGGTTAGAGTGTCTAGCACTACGTACCTTTTGCCAACGAGTGGCCACTACCTGGCTCATCTGTGCACCACGCATGGCCTCAAACTTGGCTGTTTCCAGGCCGTTTGCCACGCTGCGTCGGACTTCTCGGCATGGAGTGCTGAGCGGTGCCATGCTCAAGGCTCCCAGCAGGTAGAGACTGAGTAAGTCAAAGAACAGGAGCAAGGCGGCAGAGGTCCAGGCCTTGCCAATCTTTAAAAATCAATGTCAGCTTGGCGGTATGCTGCATGCCTTTCTTAGGGTCTTGGGGCAACATGGGGCAAACTAGAGGGGATGCCCAATTTTCTGAGGGACCTTTGAGAGTCAAGAATGCTTAGAAGCGAAGTGTCGGCTTTGATACACGTGATTGTGCATTGATGCCCCCGCCTTCGAGGAGGCAAACATGTAAACTTGATAAAGGTCATTGACGTTGTTCCAAATCAAGAGCATCAACTCCAGGTAGAGACCACCTGGCGTCGCTCTTGGCATCGGATATGGTGCGGGAAGAGGCCGCCGCAGTTTCCAAGATGTAGTGCCTAAAGTGGTTGGTTTTCAATGTGTCTAGATTGTACATCCTGCAGCCTGCCGTCGCCCCATTTTCGCCGAATCTCGGCGAAATGACAAGTCCCCGCCTGGTGGGAATACACTGCAGCCTCTGGGAGCTGCGTAGCCAGCAGGCTTTGGATAGAGACCCTCGGTCGTCATCAGCGGCTGATGAAAAGGCTACCTTCGGTGAGACTCAAGGAGTAGATGGCACAAAATTCCAGCCAGCTTCTTGATAGTATAGGTGTGGATCCATGTGAAAGGATGAAATGCATCTTGTGCCATCTACTCTGCCAATGCTTGAGCTGGCTGAACATTGCAGCGATATATCATAAGCCACATGCTAACGCCAAGCATTCCGCCTCACCGACACAACGTGCAGCTTGCGATGAGCAAAGGGTAAACAACTTGAATTGTGTTCGGGAGTCACTCCAACGTTTTTCATTTCTTTCCGTCTGGGCCCAGGCAGAATCCGGCCACAAAAAGAGTCAACACATCTGGAATCACAGCCCGTAGATGCTTCGCATGTGTTGCCTCTATAGGTTTGCAGTCGGATTCGCAGGTGACCTCCTACCTCACCGGTTCCACCGGCTCCTGGTTCGACATGACATCCCAAACGCCGTCACCTTGGAAGCCGAGCGTCCCTGGCGTCCAACTTGGGGAGGGACCCAATAAGGACAAAGACTTTTCATGAGTCATTGTCATGGGTCTGCCAAATCATCTACAACTCCACTATCACCACGGAGTACAGTAACATCAAGAGTTGTAGTGAACATGGTGGACCACACTCGATCCCAACATGTGTCACAATGCGCAATGCTTCCGACGGTGAGACACAGTGTCAATATAGCTCCTCCAGCTCCTCTGCCGCCAAGAAGCAAGCCAAAACAATGAACTCATCCTCTGGTGTGAGCTCCCGCACCACCACATCCGGCGTGGAGCAAATCACTTGTTCCTGGAGTGTTCAGGCCACAAACATCAGGAAAATCTGGCAAGTGTCACAAAGCCTTAGAAGATCCAATTGACAGCCGCCAGTGTCTTTGAAGGGGTGAAGTCATCGGGACACGGTTCTGAAGCCGGACAACCGGAGGACCGGAGGGACATCAAGATCCTGATACATATCTGAACCAGAAACTACATGAGCAATCGATGACGAAAACATTTACGATCATATACGGTATAACGTTCGATCCTACTAATGCAGAACCTCCGAAGCTATGACTTGGAGTTACTTGTGCCCGTGACCAAATGATGGGCCCAGGCTCGGGCTGGCAACTTCGTGGGCAATCCAAAATCTAAATCAGTACCACCATCCATCATTTTGGATTGCCCACGATGAAATACAACTTATATAGACCAGCATGAACACCATCATGAAACATACAACTTTTCATATCTTTTCATGCCACCATCCATCCCCAAGATATGCAAACTGAACGGAGAATTTAGGCTCTTAAACTCTGTGACCCCAAGTCACTGTCCCAAAGGTTGGAGTAGAAGCTTAGGCCCACTTTTAGCTCAAACACGCGTGAGCTCTGGCATCGAAATGAACACAAAAGTAAACCACAAACGGCTGCAGTGAAACATACATCTATACAAGCTATGTCATGTACATGTAACTGGTGCTACATCTGATCACGCCTCCCGAGTTTAACTTCTGGGAGATGTTAACCGAGTCAGGATTAGCACTTTTAGTGAATTAGCCCATAGCCCTTCAGTACATCTTGGTCTTGTAGAAGTACCTACTCTAGCTCAAGCCGTTCACGCTTTCAAAGTCAGTTCATGCTCACCTTCCAGGTAGTGGAAGTTCATGCCTTTCATAGCTGTAGTCATTTTCTCTTCGGTGACAGCTTTCGTTAGCACGTCGGCCAACATTCGGTCGGTGCCTTCTTTCTTGAGACGAAACTCTTTCTTTGCTGTACGCTCTTGTACCCAGTGGTACTGAGTGTCAACATGTTTAGCTCGTCCCAAGCCTCGACGGTTTCCCATGGCGATGCCAGCGGAAGCGTCCATTGTCACCTCTTTGCTGGGAAACAATCCCCAGTCTCTTGCTGTTGATGCGATTCCAAGCATTTGACATGCTCCAGAAACAAGTCCGTAGTACTCGGATTCGCCACTGCTCAGGGAGACAACTCCTTGGCCTTTGCTGTATGTTGTGAGACAGCATTTGTTGGCCATGAGCACGCCTCCTGACACACTCTTTCGTGTCCTTATGCAACCTGCATGGTCGGCGTCTGACCACATGTTGAAGGGGTTGCAGGTGCTTTGGTTTGGAAACAACTGTGCAACTCTTGGTCGATACCTGACATATCGAGCCAATCGTTTCAGCATATTCCAGTGCCTCGATGTTGGGTTCTGTAGACCTTGTGCCAATGAGCGCGTTGCAGTTTGCAGATCAGGTCGATCCTGTGCCAAATACGCGGCTCTCATAGCAATAGATCTATACATCGTTGCATCTTCGGCACTCAGCGGAACTTCTTCGTGTTGGAGTTCCTCTTGACTTGGCTTGGCCAAAGGGGTCTTGACCTTGCCTGGTTGACCAGTGCCTAACCACTTGATGATCAACTCTGCATGTCTTGGATCTGGTTCCCACCAAATGCCTTCATTTGACCAGGTGATGATGCGATTCAGCACTCTGATCTGTTGGCTTGCCTTTGGTGAACCTGGTGGACCGAGAATGCCTCGTTCCACAACTTGCCATTCTTTGGCTGCTGAAGTGTGAAACCATTTGATGTCATCAAAACTTCCAACTGTCGTGAAATCGTCTCCATGCACTTCTGTTCGAAGTTCTCTGGATGCATGGTAGTAGATGCATGGGTTGGACTTGCCTTGAACAAATCCTAGCTTCTTCATAAACTCTGCAATGGTCAGCTCCCAATTCATGGGTGCGTCTCTGGTGCCGTAAAGGCTTCTGACCAATCTTCCTACCACATCTCCATCTTCTGGTTTCTTGCCTTCTGATGGAATTTCAACATAGAGTTCTCTTGTTGCTTTGGAGTAGAAATGAGCTCTCTTCACATCCAAAAATCCTAGGAAAGATTGCTTTGCTTTTCTTCTTTCGCCTTTCTCCAATGGAAGGCTGTCGCTGACTGCAATGGTTAGCAGTAGCTTCAAAGCTGCAAGGCTCGGCATGGCTGCGAAAAATTCGTCAAAACCTGAGCCTCTTTTGATTTCTTGTGCTACCAATCGACTTCTATAGAGAGGATTGGTTTCATCTTGCTTGTTCACATCTACCCATCGAGTTCCAATGATTTTGGTTCCTTTTGGAACTTTGCTTCTTGGGATCTTCTCCCAGACTCCCATTGATTCGACAATGTCGATTTCATCTTTTCTGGCTTTCTCTACCTTCTCAGGTAGCAGCTCTTTTCCACTGATGTCATCATAGTACCACCAGTCTTTTGCCTCTTCTGCCATTTCTCCTGGCAGTGGGATCTTCTCTTCACACACTGGTTTCTCTGGGTCGATGCTAGATAGCACTCTCTCTCTGTCGTCTAGGATTAGGCTTTCTAGAGCCATCTCAATGCTCTGGATGTCTCTTGTTCTCTCGGCTTCATCTTCATGTTCGCCTTCTGCCTTTCTCTTCTTGTCTCTATCTACTCTGGCTTTTGCTGTGGGTGATCCTGCTGGTTCATGTTGCTCTTCATGTTCTCTCTTTTCTCCATGTGGTTCAGGTTCGCGTAGTCTGCGAATACCTGATGCTGAAGCTGATGCTGTGCCTGGTGTTGGTGGTGCTGCTTCTGGTTCGTACCAAAGTTCTGTCACAATGTCCATCTTGTGTGGTAATGCTCCATTGAGTATCTCTGGTGGAAGGTCTGTTGTCATGACTCCACTCTCAATGATTGCATTGTTTGCATTGTTTCTTGTGACTCGGTGCCAGACGGTAGACCAATCAGGTCCTCCTGGCATGGTGGTTTGAAAACAGTAAGCTTCGACGTCAAGTCGTGCGAACACTCGACACGAATCGGGAACTCCCGATGGTCTTTTGCTTTCATATCCATGAAGGATTTGAGGTCTCTTGCCACTGACGGGTTGTGGCATGCCAGTGATTGCCTCTCCAACTCGGCTTTCATGTCTTGCTACTCTTGGATTCTCTTCTTCTTCTCCTCTGATGCTCTCTTCAAGTCTGTCTCGACACCTGTTGGTGTGATGGATGCCTGTAGATCTCTTGCCAATCTGTGTGGCATCACAAGCTGGGCAACCTGCAGTATACCCAAACTTTTCCAGGTCTTTCTTGGTGATGTAAAGCCTTCTCAGCTTTCTTTTCTTGTCATCCATTGCCGGTGGTTGCACCAAAGCTTCACCACTTGGGCTGGCAATGATTGGTTCCCTTGGGGCTGCAATCGCTGGTTCTTCGCGAATTGCTTGAGGATCCCAGGGAATCCCAGTGATCGATTTCATCAACTCTGAATCATATCGATCTTCTTCTGGCTTTCTTCGAATGGATTGCACTGTGAAAACGCCTGTGGAATTTCCTACTATCTTCTCTGTGGTGGTGTCTTTCACTCCTAGAAAAATTCCTTTGGTCCATTGGGCCTCGAACTTGTGGCCTCTCTTGAGGTATTCGATGGCCTCACCAAATGGTGGAATTGCTACTTTCCATTCACGTCCACGAAGTCGTGAATACGGAGTCTTTCCGTCTTGAAGTTCGGTAGATCGGAAAAACAGATTGTAGACTGTGGATGCGTGTTCAACTAACCAAGTCAAAACAGGTGAATCGTCAGGAAGTTTCTCACCATAGTTCGACTCGATTGCGGCTCGAAGAGTCCTGGCTTGTCCTTCCAAGGTTTGAACTGCTCGTTCAATCTCTCCCTTGGATTCTTTGACTCCTTTCGGGCTCTTCTCGATGATCAGGGTTCCTTCAAACCCATTCTTTACTGCCTCAACAACGGATGTGAGAGCAGGTTCAGGATCATGTCGAATGATCAGTTTGGAGTATCCTAGTTTCTTGATGTCGTTCAAAAGTACTTTGGATCCATATGGACCTTTTGTCACACCTTTGTAGGGCAACACATGAGCAAAAAGATGCTTCGTCCATCGATCTCTGACAACAAGAATTGGTGCATGGGTCTTCTCGTCCAAAACTACATCATCAGTTCGTGAATTCATGAAACAGTAGTCTACAGTCACTACTGGGGTTGTCTCATCGGTGTGGTCTATCTTCCTGTGGGGGTTTGCCTTAGCTTTTCCCCTTACACAGGCTTCACACCAAGACCAAAAAAAAA